TTTTGGCCTGCCTCTATTTTTTTTCTTTTTTTTCTCTTTTTCTTTTTTTCTTTTTGCCTTTTTGAAACTATTTCTCTCTTAAGCTCTCTTAATTTCATTGTTATTTTAAATAATAAATAAGCAGATTGTTATGAGTTACATGCTTCCTTCTCCTTCCATTCTCCTTTGCTTTGTTTTGTTTTTACTTACAGTGGCATAAGTTTTGTAATAGAGCTGTTTCCCTTTTATAAAACCTAAGTTTCTTCTTAATTTGTTTTTTGTTGCTGTCTCATTCTTGCAGATTTCCTTCATTTCCTCTAAGTGTCTCTAATCATGCTCTAATGCTTAACACGCACATACCACTATTGTGAGATTATTTTGAAAATGATTCTTATATTTTTAGAGCCTGTAAAGTTAGTGGAAACAGCCATCAACAGTGTTCAGAAATTTCAGTAAAAGCCCGTGCTTCTGCACAAAGATTATCTCATGAATCAGAGGACCATGTCCTTTGCACATACGATATGGTTCCTAGAAAAAAGTTTTCTCTCTGGGGTGTTTCCATGATGGGAGTCTTCTTATATGGCAAAAGTCATGTCTGTGAGCATATATCAGACTTTTATATCAGAGTTTTAGTTTACCTAAGTGAGATTTAAAGTGGTTTAAATCTTCTGGAAAATGATTGTAATCATACCATAATTTTGGTTTGAGTTCCCAAGCCTTGCACTTTTTTATCCTCCTCATGCCAGAGTTTGATTAGCAACAAGTCAATAAGTCAAGTATTGTGGTTATTAATAAAACACCAGCTGAAATCTAGAAATAGGGAAAAATGACACTGGCTCTCTGTGAGTTAGTTTTCTCATCCACAAACAGAAAAAAAGCATTTCATTAGATATATAAAAAGAAAAAAGGCAATGAGGAGACAAACCACACACCATACGATACCAAACTGGTCCTTCCTTAAAGAACAGTAAGAGCTATTTACAGATCTTCTCTCTGGTTTCATGGTGAAGTCACTGTCTACCTTGCTTCCCAGTTCCTGCCCAACATGTCACGCATGGTTTGGAATTTTTACATCCCAAAAGTCTGTTCCTCTCCAGATGGGTAGCCAGAGCAGATGCAAACTGCCCTTGTACTGGTCCCTTCCTTGCCTCAAGTTGATGCTCTGGTGGCTGCATCTGCCAGCTGTCCTACTTCTGCTCCTGCCTCTTGCAGCAGCTCCAGCACCGCTACCTCATCTGGATAAGAGTTGTCACTCTGCTAGTGGTGTCTCTTACTGCAGCTCTTCAGCAAAGAGCACGTAGCAATGCATGTGACATTTGTACTCTTAAGTACACTCTCCTGATTTTTCAACTTGTATTCTTACCTTGTAGTAGCCTACGAAAGACTCCCATGCATTTTCTTTTAAATTCTGTTCCCCACCTACCACTGTAAAACCTAGTGTGACTTCTTACTCCTAACACTCCTGTCTCAAGCACAGAAAGTTAGTCCAGACTTTTACTGTTATCTGTTTCCTCCATTGTGTGGCTGGCTACCCTTTCAAGCAGAAATGCCTTCTGAATGAATAAAAATATATGTATAAACCAAACATGTACTTATCCTGCACCTTGGTCCTTTCTACCTGTCTCATCCTCTTCACCAAACACCAACAGAGAGCCCTTCATCTTTGAACCTCCTACCCCCATGCTCGGGCCTGGGAGCTTCTCTCTCTTCTTGGCACCAGCTCCCCTATCTGCTTGACAAAACAAAACGTTTTTGACCTTGCCATGTGCTAGGGATTCTAAGTCTTATGTTCCCTGCACTATGGTGGTAGTTGTCTAAAATTTTAGAAAGTTGTAACTAATTCAGTAGTAGCTTTTGCTGACGTTACTCTTCTCAGAGAGATCCAAAGGGTAACATTTCAAGGGAAAGGGGAAGTTTGGGATAAAAAATGGTTGGCAAGTTTCAAGAGCTACTTGTCTGAAAAATACATTTCTTCTTTTCAGAGTTTTAGGGCTTAAGAGGAAAGATAATTTGTAATTAGGATAAATGTCTTTTTACAGATAGGAAAGTTTTTTGGGTAACAGCAGAAATAAAGCAGGAGTGTGCCCAGTGACTTACGTTGCATGGCTGTTTATGAGACAGACTTCTCTAGTCTATGCACTGACATTTTGTGCTTCTACAGAAAAGCCAGAGGACAGTGAGAGAGAAACCATGAGCAGCAGATGAGTCAGAGAATCCTAGAGTCACAGAATGGTGTGGGTTGGAAGGGACCCCAGGGACCACGTAATTTCAACCCCCCTGCCATGGGCAGGGACACTTCCCACCAGACCAGGTTGCCCAAAGCCCCATCCAGCCTGGCCTTGAGCACCTCCAGGGATGGGGCATCTACAGCTCCTCTGGGCAGCCTGTACCAGTGCCTCACCACCTTCATAGTGAAGAATTTCTGCCTTATATTTAATTTGAATCTACCCTCTTGCAGTTTAAAACTGTTATCCCTTGTCCTGTCGCTACATCATAGTCATCATGATGTTTGTTACTGGGGAAAAGCCTCTTCCTGAATTCATTTCTTCTTTCACTCCATCCACAGTGCACAGGCGGTCACTCGATTAGGTTAAGCTTTGGAAAGGGAGGCTGATATGCCAGAGCCAAACGTGAAATAAAGCATGGTGCACAGAATCAGAGCCACCCCTTCCTGTTTCTGATTCTCTTTTATAGCGTTTCTTCAAAACTAGGGGCAGTTGTCTGTGTTTCTCCTAGTTTCTCTCAGTTTGCTAGTACATTGGCTCCTTTAGCAATGCTGAGATTGGAAGAGACATTACAGCTGTATTTGCAGTTCCTTATATAATCTGGTGCAAGGAGGACATTTTGTTGTTGTGATATTTTTAATTTTTTTTTTTTGGGTAGACCTTTTCTCATGAACCTGCTTCCTCTTTCTTTTTTACTGCACAATTTAGTAGGGGGTTTTCGCAGAGAGAGGATATGAATTTGAAAGAGGAAGAATTGCTGTAGGAAGAGGTTTTATTAAAAAACCTAGCTGAAGGATTGTTCATCATATCTTTGGGTAAATATCAGTGGGGTAGTGACAGAGGATGTGCCATTGTATTTACTTAGTGTACGACAGTTCTGCCAAGCAAAGTATGACATGAAAGCAGCATGAATTTTTATGCTGTTTTTCAGTATCATGTAGAGGCTCTACCTTATTGCAGTGGCTTCTTTAATTTCATGTTGTCCGATGGATTGATGCAATTTATTGTCACCAAGTATTAGAACATAATACTGTTTTACATGGCAATAGAATGTCATAAATCAACCTTTCCAAGTGTTCAAGAGAAATCATGAATGAAAGAATTAGTGTGCAAGACAAATGCCTTCTGGTCTGTCTCCTGCAGCCTTCCTTCCTCTGAAATATTCATCATCTTCCTCTTTGTTTGCCAAGACCTAAAAGCAAGCAGATACTTTCTTATAAACACTGAGGCAGAACGCTAAGAGCTACCGTCACATCTTTCCCTGACAAAGAGAAAATTGCTTCAGCTGGAGCCCAGCTTTTCCTTCTTCTGCTGTGTGCAAGTCTGGTGCTTCACAGACTACATTCACAAGCTTTTCCATGTCCCTCAGTGGTCCTATGTGGTTTTCCACATATATATCTGCTTGCAGATATATATATATATCTATATATAGATCTGCTTGGAGCAGGACGGCCTCTGCAGGCAGGGATGCCATCTCAGTCCCAAGTGGGTCAGAAGGTAGGAGGTGAGGGGTGTGCTCGAGGGTCTAAAGCGAGGAGAGACTTGTAAGAAACACAAGGAACAAAACCAAGGCTGCCAAGGAGCACATTTTCTTGAGTGTCAAATAAACGTGTTTGCTGAGGACTTCGCATCCTTTTGGAGAGAAGTGCTTGGGACTGGTTGGGAGCTTACTGGATGGATGAAAATACGAATTCTTTCAAGAGCCCAGGTACTCTGTGGAAGGCACTCTGTACTTCAAACTGTGGAACCTAAACATTCAGAAATGGGACTGCTCAGGGCACCTCATTTTGTGCTGTCAGTCTCTTTTCTTTCCTAGAACTCCCAACAGTTTTTATTCTCCATTTGTTGACGTGAGAAATCTCCTTACCACTGAGGAATAAGTGAAGCAGTTTTCTGGCAGCTCTTTGCCTTGCCTGTTGTTCTGTTAAGATTATGTCGGGGCACAGATCACTGTAAGCAATTGCGATCATCAGTGACAGAATTTAGAAACCGATTTTTTTTGCAATGTTACCTTACCATTACACTATATGGTTTCTGTGCTGCAGCTCTTTCAGCCTCTACAACATCAGTCTCTTCCTCCTTAGCTAAGACTCTTGCCTTTTCCTTGTCAGTTTGGTCACAAAATTGTCAGCTGATGAATAAAATATCTCTGTATGAATAAAATATCTCTGTATGTCACACCCTTTGCATGACAACTATGGATTTAGTACATGGCCCTTAACCAATAGCTGAAAACAATGTAGTAAAAAGACACAAAGAAATTGTGTTTTCTGCTGCTCATTTGTAGCTTTGTGCTTTGTTTTGATTGTTCTGTTTTGTTTCTTTTTAAATTGTTTTTTTTTTTTTTTTTCATGTTTCTGTGGGTGTAGTTTTGTCTGATACTTATTCTTTGCATAATAATCATTGCTATAAATGTTGCCCTCCAAGGGCTTTTCTGCAACATTTACATATGTGCATTTATGGATAGAAGTCATTTTCAACACAAAACTCCTATCACAAGTTTACTCGTGTGTGGTTTCTCTCTGTATGCTCGATAGCTGATACTTTGCTTATTGTTTATGAAATACCACAGCACTAAAGACCCTGAGGTGGATTATATGTGATAAAAGGCAGGAGTTGTATTGTGTTTTTATGTTTATGATTGTACTGGAAAAGATGAAGATACAGTTGTGAAAACTGCAGTTCTGAACAAGGGCACCCTGATGGAAGTGAATCCTAGGTTTGGGGACGAACCACTTCGTATCAAAGAAACTCAGGGTGTCAGGATACAAGCAATTCAGATTCAAACAGTGAAAATTGAAGACAGATTACAGCTTTAATCCTGAATTCCTTGCAGAATACATCAGGTGAACAGTTTCATTGTTCATGGAGACAAAGTTAGTGTGTCCATCTACCACACGCACTATGCAAGTGTGTCAACCCCACACCATCCTCCCCACAGTCTTTTACAAACCACTTTCTTTAGTTCATGCTTGTGAAATTGCAAAAAAAAGATCTTCAGCTTTTGCAGACAGCAGAATGGGCAATGTAAATGGTAATGAGCGTACTGCTATGTATGGACTTGGCAGCTTGGGCTGTCTGAGACAAATAGCATTACTTGATCATACTTCCATTTTCTCCACCAAAATCTGTTAGCGCTCAAAATGCTAATGCTCATGTGGAGAAGAAAAAGAGAGGAGAGCTTTGTTTCCTCCTAATGCATCTGTTCCTTCTGCTTTTCTGCTGGCTTACAGAGAGGGGCATGCTCATCTGACAGCATCATCAATATGACCTTTCTATATAAGCAAGCAGAAGGAACAGATGCGTCTGAAGGAAATGGAGAGGTTTTTTTTTTGTTGTTGTTTGCTTCTTTCTTTCTTTCTTTCTTTCTTTCTTTCTTTCTTTCTTTCTTTCTTTCTTTCTTTCTTTCTTTCTTTCTTTCTTTCTTTCTTTCTTTTTCTTTCTTTCTTTCTTTCTTTCTTTCTTTCTTTCTTTCTTTCTTTCTTTCTTTCTTTCTTTCTTTCTTTCTTTCTTTCTTTCTTTCTTTCTTTCTTTCTTTCTTTCTTTTTCATTTGAACATTGCTGTCCTGGATACTAGTGGATTTGAATTACAAAAAATATGCCCCTTGTGCAGTTGGTGGGTGGGCTCACATCACCCTCAGTTTTGTTCAGAAGGATGTGCCTGAGTTAGGTAAAAACAGGTCAACTGTTGTAGCACTGTGGCTGGGACAGCAGGAATTTCCAGAAATGCTTACGGATATTCAGGCATGTGTAGTAAATGAGTTTTTTGCACTTTTTACATTCCTGTTGAGATCTTCAGAGCAATTTCACAGCAGAAGATAGCATTTATGTTCTAATTTTTCAGAGGGATCAAGGTTGACATGGAAGTAGACTGCTCAGAGTCATGGTTTAATGAAGATGGAAGCTAAGGTCAAGCTTCGCATTTTCCAGAAGTGCCTGAACTTTTGATTGTTGGTCTATCTAGTTTTCTAGCATATGTCATAGCAGAGAGTATAGCACAGTTGATAGACCATAGTTGGTTTATCTAGTTTTCTTCTTCTTCTTCTTCTTCTTCTTCTTCTTCTTCTTCTTCTTCTTCTTCTTCTTCTTCTTCTTCTTCTTCTTCTTCTTCTTCTTCTTCGTCTTCGTCTTCGTCTTCATCTTCTTCTTTGTCTTCTTCTTTGTCTTCTTCTTCGTCTTCTTCGTCTTCGTCTTCAGTTGTTATTGGTGAGTATAATGTTGGATGGTATGGAATATACCTTTGGGAAGTTTGGGTGAGCTGCCTCATCCATGTCCTCTCCCAGTGTCTTGCCCACCCCCAGCCTATTCACTGGGGAACAGAGTGGGAAAAAAGGAAATTCTTGATGATGTGCAAGCACTGTCCAGCAGCAGTCAAACACCACTGTGCTAATAGCACTATTTTGGCCACAAATCCAGAACATAGTACTGTATGGGCTGCTACAAAGAATGTTAATCCCATCCCAGCTGGACCGAGTGCAGTGTGCAAGCCCACAGAACCTAAGCAATGCAAGTAGAGCACGTCTGAGGATGGTCATCAGCAATTGCCAGGCAAATATGATGTGACAGCACAGCTTCAGCATCAAGGTAGAAAGTCAAGTCAGTGGGTCAAGATTATTTCAGCAAGTTTCTTGGACAGGCACAGGAAAAAATATCAAGCAAAAGCTGAGGGCAAGGCCACCAGACCAAGATGGATAGGCCACAAAGCCAAGGTGGGGAGGCCCCCAACATAGTGGTTTTTACAGCTCTTTCTCACACCACTATGTTAACAGCATCTTACACAACATTAGACAGCTGGACCATGTCACAGCCAGCCTTCAACACTAGCAGCCAAACCTCTAGGAGATAGTGGGGAGAGGTTGAAGAGCCTGTTGGTACACGCAGGGTCCAGCCACTTGTGTGCTGGATGGAATAAAATTAATTCTGCTTTGCCCACTTGCTCAGGAAAAACCTTTCACAGCTAATTTCTGAATTGCATAAATTATTTTTCCTTAGATTTATTCTGCTGGAAGGATTTAATTGATTATGAAATATGGCTGAATACAGACATTGCATAAAAGAATGTGTTAGCAATTCAACTCCTCAACTGTATTTGAGGAGTTGAATATTAAACACATAGATAGTGTAACGTAGATGTATTAAATACATAGTGTAATGAACATTATACCAGCACATGGACCACAGGTCAGCCCTGGTCTTTGAGGAGCTGAAGATAAATACGTAGTTCCATAGGAGTTAAGAGCCTGACCAGAACTAAGACCTTACACAATTATCCCTAAAATCTCCTTGAAGGAATTGTGTGGAACGATATCATAGCTGAAGACTGTGTAATTTCCCTTTCCTTATCCCATACTTGCACTACATTATCCCGAACTGCTTTATTATCAGCAGACTCATAAGCAACACCAGATGACTCTGTTCGTCACCAGATACGCCAGCTTGGTAGCACTGGTCAGTAAGAAAAGGTAGTGACAATGGTTACTTCTTCAAACAAAATATTTAGCTACAGGAGTCAGTAATCAGTAAATCAGTCAGTAAATTGCCTCACTTAGGGCTTTGCCAGTTTTTCTAAAGACTTTGATATGTTTAACTTAAACAAACTCTTTCTGGTGGCAGAGATACAAATAGGTTATTTGCGGGCCCTGCCTCTTGCTGTGTTTCCCTCCAAATCCTTCTGAAGGGCCAACACTTTGTTTAAGCTTTTTTTGCCTTGAGGGTTCCTAGCTGTCTTATTAGGTACATATGCAGCACACTGCCCAGAGAAGAATATCAAAAAGCTGATGTTTTGGGAACTATTTACCTTTTTAGAATCTGGCCTTTTGCGTTGTATCTCTGTTTTATTATATTTTATTGTACCTCTAACTTCCGTCTTTGAAAATCATGGACTGAAAAGACTGTATTGTAAGAGCAGGAGTGGACCTGGTAACACTAGGGGAAGGTCAGGATATTTGGAAGGCTTCAGGAATTGCTGATGGTCCCCTGGACTTTCACTTTTTAAAAGCAGCAGAAAGAATTCTGGCACCATTAGGAATTTTGGACAAAGGTTTTTATGGAAATGATTAATGGCAAAAATGTTTGTTCAGCATTGGCATAGTCAGTGTGTGCTCTTTTGTTCAAAAAAAGGCCATCAATCTGAGGCATCATTAGCATTCCTTGATAGGTGTAGTTTTTCAACCCTCCCAAATCAACTTTTGACCTGTCTGAATCTGGGCATCATAGCACTTCTAGAGCAAAGATTGACAGACTGCAAATTATGCAAATTTTGGTAACTCATGGGGTTACAAAGGAGAAAGTATACACTTCTGTGAGTCCTGGGAGTTTGGAATGGGAGAAAGCTGACCTCAAGCTGTTGTGATGCAGTGAGGCCTTAGCCAGAAGGGTGGAAACCTTCTACACTGAGCAGAACAAGCAGCATGCGTGAAAATAATTTTTACATAGTGAAAATGGAGATTCCCAGAGAGGATGTGGTTCCTGAGGGATCAAGACCCAGTCATTTCATTCTACTTTCCAAGTTCACAAAGAATATAATCCATCTAATGGAAAAAATATACACTCCTGCAAAAGTTTATATACACATGCACAAGCATATGTTGAACTGATTAAACACAGTTCGGTTAGTTTATTCTAGCTTTGCTTTGTTACATCTGTAAATGGAAAAAATATGGCATCTGATAATAAATCAACAGGCAACTGAAAGTGACCAGACATCAAAGACATTTTCTGCTCAAAGGGTTTTTGAAGGCTGTTAAATATTTCCCTCTCCTAGAGAGAAGCTGATCCTTCCATGAAGGACCAGACCCCTCAGTCCTGAATTCCAGCTCTGGTTATGGGCAGGGCACAATGGTAACTTGTATTTCTTTGGCTGAAATGGACTTAAGGGATAACAGCCACCGATCCAGACCTGGTGGGAGAGTGACATAAGACAAAAGTTTTGAAACTTGTGACCTGTTCAGCTCTCACTCACTTTGAAGGTGTAATTACCTCAGTTCAGGGAGCTGCTTGTGCTTTTGAAATGAATCAAGTAAAGTTGAAGCTACGAGAATGTTAAATGTTTTCATTTAATTTAATGTATACTTTGTATAGATGAACAAACGAAGCTTATGCTAGAATATTCCACTAAAACATTTCACTCATGCCCTGTTTCATGCCTTGAATACATTTCTAATATAGTTCGTGGCCTTGTTATCTAAAATCACTTGTACAAAAAGGTTGTAAAGGAATTTCCTTCTTACCTCACCCCATCAGTATCACAAGTGACAGAAGAAAGTGTTAGACTTTCACAGTGAAAACTTGTTAGACACAGTGGGTTGTAGTTATTGGGACAGTCTGTGGAAAAAAGAGGAAGGGATGGATACTTGTGCTCTAATGGTTAGGGAGAGGAACGACTGAGGAAAATCTTAATGAAGCTTCGTGACGTGACATTTAGGTCAAAGACCAAAGTAATGTTCATATGTCTGTCTTCAAGAGAGAAGATAAAAAATAGTAGTTTCAGAAAGATGGATCTTCCTAGCCTGTAAAAGCCAAAGACTATGACAATCCTATATAGCCTTGATGAAAACTCAGCAGTCTCCCTGGCACAGCAAAGTCCTGACACAAGTTTATTTCAGCCGAGAGCCAGTATTGACACAGAGTGGCTGGATTTCCTGGTAGTTCAGAGTTTAGTGGGCTATTCCAGCTATGAAGCACAACATATCCAAGCAACACATTGTTGTTAAAGCTAAAAAAATTTCATTGTATGGGAGAAGTTTATGATCTTTATCCGGGTGGTAGTTTTGGATGTAATATACTCTGAATACATGATGAGGCATAAAGCACACTAACATTACCAAGATGAAGAAGAAACTCTTTGCCTGAGCCCTGAATTCCACATGGGAGTTGATGTCAGGCCAGTATTTCACAGCCAGTCTATAGATCACAGATAGCTGGATGACAGTGAGCACAGCACAAACAGCCACCAAAATTCCAACCAAACAGTAGTTTATGATCGTCATACGTAACTCTTGTATCTCCTGCTGGAAGTGAAAGCAATGGGAGGACGTGTATGTTTTAGAAGTGCCATAGTAAGAGAGGAAAACAGGTGCAATCACCAGTGCTCCCAGCAGCCAGACAGCAATCACCCACGTTGTAGTGTAGCATTTCTTAAACTCAAGTCGGAAGAGACGTATTACGATGATAGCAATGTAAAACGAGAAGGTGGTGTACATGTGGAAGTAGATAATGGCACTCACTAGCCTGCAGGTGAATGTCCCAAATTTCCATTCCTGTAAAATGTAATAGCTGAGGCGAAAGGGGATGCTGACTAGCAGGAATGTGTGCAGCACCAGGAGGTTGATGATGATAATGGTCATCACAGATTGTGACTTCCTTCGAAACAACTGGTGGGACATCACGATGACCCCGAGGGTGCCGCCAGCCAGGTCAATGCTGTACAGGATTATGAGAACAGAGTGGACTGAGGCATCCAGCAGTGTCTCATTGGAGGAGTGGTTCTGCTGGGTCAAGCTGCTTTTAGGCATCCTCCTAAGCACCTCTTCCAAAGGTTACTGAAAATTAAAATTGTGAACTTTTAAAACAGACATGCTTTCATTGTTGCTTCTGTTATTGTTAATTATAGAATGTCACAGATTCATGAAGTGACATTTTAGTGAATTGTGTTTGAAATAATTTTATCCCATTTATATACAACCTTATAATAGTTGTCAAGCTGTATATGACAGCAATAAGATGCGTCTCTTGGTGTTAAAACCATATTATATATAATAATGAATGAGTTTTTAAGTTACTAAACTGCATGCCAGGATATTTGTGCAATTATTTGCCTCTATCAAGCCTTTTTGACATAGTCAAGACGTTGACTGTAAACTCTACAAGTTTAATTTGCACGTATGTTATAAAGCTAAAACTGAAGGTAGGAAAAATACTGAAATGCAAAGAAATGCACGTATAATTTGTGCGTAATTTCTGAAGACACCAAAGCCATCTTTTTAGCATCCTGCTGGGTGACTGCAGGGCAACCATAAGGCAGCAACAGTTTCAGTTTCTGGATTCACAGAGCACAGTGAAAATACAGATCTGCAGATTAAAAAATAGTTTCTTCTTGCTTCAGCTTCAAGTCTTTTTGTTACAGAATTTCACCTGCAGTACTCTATTATGAAAAATAATTAAAAGCTACAAATTAATATGGGATTTTTTTTTTCTTCTCAAGGATATAAACCTATAGGCGCTTGTTGACATCTGCATTTGTATTTGAATATAAGGCTTGCACACAAGTTTCTCTTTATACGAAAGTATACAGGGATAGCATGAAGGTTACAAGCATATTTTGCTAATGGAATCTGTCCTTACCTTAGAAAGAGTTTCAAAAAATGAAGTAATAGCTAAGAAATGTTTTCTTAGAAAGTTAATGTGCCCTTTCTTTGCTTCTTCTTGAGTCTGAAATCAGAAATGTGGCTTTAATTGGAAATTCTTAATTCTGTTGCACTCATCTATAAAAGTGAGTGAAAAAAAAAATCAATTTTGTGATTACAAGCGCATTTCCAATATTACGATCACATTTTTCCTAGTAATTGTTTGTAACTGAAGAACATTCTTCAGTTACAGAAGAATGTTCAGAAAAACTTCTTCTTTATAAAGCATCACTCAAAGCATCTTTAGAAGGCTGCTGAAGTGCTGTGTTCAAAATTGATATAAACCATTCTGTTCAATCTCTTTCAAAATGCATGTTCTTAGAAAAAGTCATATGTTTAAAATCATGTGCTTACCTAATATTCTTGAGACAAGCATGATGAATTTGCTTTTCTATCAACTTTGCTGTAAGAAAAGCTTTATGAACTTTAAAAAGATGACTATCTGCTCCTGACACAAAATAACTTTTCAGTGTATGTTGTTAATATTTCAAACTTACATAATTAGACACAATCATTTTTTCTTATTTTAAACAGCATTGTTACAGTCCGAATGTCAACAGTTTATGTTACTCAGAAATAGATTATATTTTTTGCTATTTGTAGAAATAAAATGCTTAAATTTTACCTTATAGTCTCCGATTTGTATTGTTTCTGTCTTCTTCATTGCCATTTCATGCATCCATAGCATGCAACATACATAATCGGTATGAATAAAAGAGCCTTGGTTGTTACTGTTTGCCCAAGAAGAGTTAAGAGTTTTCTCAGCCCACATACAGGAAGGTGCAAGCATTTGTTCATGCAGAAAAAGATGCTGGAAAGCTGTACTTGTTTTGTATTTAATAGTTAATTAAAATGTGCCAGAATAACAAAGCATTTAGCAGATAAAAAAAAAAACAACAAACTTCACTTGAATGTACTATCTTCAAGAATTAAGAGATTACCCACTGTTTAAATTGTGTAAGTAAAATAAACCTCACACATGTACGTAAAGCAACTTAAGAGTTCATTCTGTTTAAAAATAAAAAATAAAATAAAATAAAATAAAATAAAATAAAATAAAATAAAATAAAATAAAATAAAATAAAATAAAATAAAATAAAATAAAAAACAGGCAGAGGCCAGTGACCTTGAAGGTTATGTCTGAACAACAGGAATGAATGCTGACCCCAAACCACAGTACTGGTAAAAAAGAAAGCGTTATGTTGGGGATTTTCCAGGGACAGCAAAAAGCAGTTTCCTGACTAGAAATGAAAGAGAAAAAAAAAATAGTGATTTTTTTTTTTTTTTCAATTAGAGGTCTAGACCACAGTCTGAATTAGCAGTACTCAAATAAGAATGAGGTACATGAGGTTTTGTGAGCAGTAACATAAAACCGCTCTCTCAGCAGGTCTGAACTAGAATTGCTTCTGCAATTATATGCAGGCATCCTCTTCTGTGGAATGTGAGGGTGGTTCACTTTGTGAGTCTTCTCTCCTGTTATTAAGTACAGTTATTAGGAAGAACAAGATAGACAGTAAACAAATACAAAGACTCAACATGGGCACTAAAAGTCAGGGAGATAAACTGAAAGGATATTGAATGTAAGCAAAACCACAGAGAGAACAGTCTGTGGGACATTCTCTGGATGATCTCTGAAAGCTTTGAGCAGTTGCCATCTCATCTAGACTAGGATTCAGAGCAGGAGAGAAACCCTGTTCTGGAGACTGCATGTGTTCTTGGCTTGGGGATAAGAGAAATGAGTGATTGTTCCAACAGGGCACCAAAAGAAAAGAGATATATGAATAATGGTACTCACCAGGTACGGTTCCAGCATCTTAATTCCACTTAAGGACAGGCTTCTGACATGGTAGTAATGATGTTTAGACAGCAAAATGATCTGAAGAAACATATATAGGAGGGTAGGGAGCAGCCTGGGTGTCTGACATAAAGCTTTAGATGGGTTAACGTGACCATGAAACTATATCCACAACCTCTAGGTAAAGCAGGCAAATGCCTGCAGTCTTGTGTTCTGTCCATGGAGTCTGGAGCAATCCACAGCTTGAGTCGTCATGTAATAATAATGTAGAAGAGGCATGAAGAAACTGGGTTCCTGAAATAACTACTATATGACAGCCAGCTCCAGACAGAGCCAAAGCAGGATATAATATCAAGAGCTTAGTAAAGTCTCTTACCTCATCCAGTCCTGTCCAAGCTCTTTGGATGTAGAGTAGTTCAAAAAACCCTACCAAGGTTTTTTTTTCAATTCCTGTCACTTGGGGAAGAACACCAGTTTTGGCTGACACAAAACTGCAGGGGACCAGAAACTGAACTTCTGAATTGATGGTTCATACCTCTGAGTTGCTATATCCTCAAAGTATTCCTTTAAGTTTGTACGTTGAAACCGTTCAGTGTTCAGTCTGTTGACCTTTTATCTTCATCTTCTTCTGTTCAGAAAAACATAAATAAATAAATCATGTACTTTGTAAACAAGGTCTTAAATTTTAGGTCAGCTTCCCTTTAGAATATAACAGGAAATTGAGTCATCTCAGACTCTTCAAATCAACTCTGAGATCTTTCTTCGGCTTCTTATTTCATCATTGCATAGTTTGCCTGGACCAGTAGTGAGAAGGCTGAAAGAGAAATACACACTAGAGATCCATGTCAAGACAGGTATCACAAAGAGAGTTTAAGGAGGGAAAAAACTGGGCATGTCTGGCTCAACACTGAGGAAAACAGATGAGATGAAGAGGAAAGCTGAGGTTTTAAATCATTAAGAAGAGAAAATTAAAGAGAAGAAGAAGTGATAGTTGAGAGACGAGGAACAAGACCTGCTGAATGTTCAGAGACTGGAAATGTTTCTGAATGTGCCCATGCATGGTTGTAGAGAAGTTCCTCTAAGCAGGGTCTAGATCTCCAGTAGAATTCTAAGTTTTTATATTTTGTTTCATTTCTGCATGATTTCCCCTACTTTCAGTGTCACTGTGTAAGAATATATTGTATTTATTGGTCATTAGAATAGAAACTATGGTTTTACAAGAGCTGAAGAGTTCCTTTCTGTCTAGGAACAAACATAAAGCTACCTTGTGTTACTGGATAGGTTTTCAGTTTTAGCTGCTTCCAACCTAGGGTCATCATTGCTCGTAATTTCAATCCTCTGTTGCTAGACTGATATGGAAATTAAGCTGAATACAGGTCAGTCATAAACAACAGCAGGACGGAGAATGCCTGTGTTGCATTTTAATTTACCAGTTTCTCTGATTGCAAGTGATTCTTGCTGTCTTATTCCCTGTCTGTCATACATGAGGCACAGGTACTGTAAAATGAGGAAATCATACTCCATTGTAGTTTTAGGATAAATGCTTTAACTTGAAAATACCACCCATGCTGCACGAAGAAATGAAAAATTTAGTAAGTGGTCAACAAGTCTAGAAGAGATTTGAGATTCTTATACTAATCCTCTATTTGTTGGTTGGAGATACGTTGAGAAGTTTCTCATGCTTTATCATGATGAAAGAGGCAATCTGGCTTCTCTGTTCATTAGAAACAATCATGATATAGTTGCCTTAGTCATACCTATTTAATATATTTCAAAAACAGGTATTATGCTTTATATAACAAGAAATAATATATCATGGGTTTCTACAAAGAAGTGTAGTAGGGTATATTACAGGCAGATGGTATGTTGCTTTTTGAAACAAAACTATTAGTTCTTGGTTTTGGTGAGTGGAGATAAGGTTTATTATTACAAGTTCAGGAACTTGTACTCATTATTCTCTTGTGCTGGTATAAACCAGTTTAATAGTAAGCTAGATTTATGAAATAGGTTCATACTATTGTTTGATCTCCAACACCTATAAATGCAATTAAAGTTGTTTCTGATTTAGATTATTCCAGCAAATTGATAATTGCCAGCTCTGAAACACCTTTGTACTAGGTGAACAGCTGTAGACACCCCCCAAAATGCACATCTACTAGAAAAACAATGACAAAAGAGGATTCTGAATTCTTGAGAACTCAAAGTATCAGTTATATCTTTTTCTCAGCTCTATTTATCCTTATTTGGAAACTAATAATGATAATATCAATAGTGTGAATTCTGAGATATAAAAGAAACTGAATACCAGTATATAAAGCAGAAGACCTAGCGCATCTCCAACGTATAGTGATAATACTTTATGCTGTTGTCAGCGAGGGAAAGTGGATTGATTGTAAAACTAGGAGATTTTTCAGTTCCTTTCACTAACTAGAAATCTGAATACAAAACTGGTAGTGTAGTCTACCAGCCTTTTCCTATTTAATTTCCAATAGGATTTCTAAAAAAATCACAGAGAAGAAATAGTGAGTTTGAAATCTGAGTATTTCAGCTAGTAGCTTCCACACACAACCTGCTTCCTTCAACTCAAAAAAAGAAAAAGAAAAAAAAAGGCCAAGGTTTGGTATTGGTAAACCTACAGTTGGGCAAATCCACAAACGGGGAACCTCCAAAGCTGAGACCATTTGTGCAGTGGAATAAGTTCTCTATGTACAAAAACAGACTCCTTCACCATCAGAGTGCCTTATACAGCATGGCCACACTTTGTGTGAAAAGAGAAAAAAACAGTTCTGCAGTGTTCAATGATGGAGGTGGTTTAGGAAACACAGCATTGTTCAGACAGGAATAATCTCAAGGGATTTAAAAGGAGATGTTGATTATATATTTAAAGTATTCCTCCTCTCTGCCTTCCTCTGAAAAACTTTCTGTTGACTTCTTCAGAGGTGCCAGTAATGACCAGGAATGAATGTTTGATCTGGCCAGTCCATCACCCATGTTAAGACCAGTAGTTCCAACAGACATTTCTCAGGACAGAGCTGTCATTTTATATTCTAATCATAAATCTCACTGGCATCATCAGATCTAGAAACTCAGTGGTTTAATAAAAGACTGTCAAAGTTACCAAGAATATAGCATGTCTGTTGGGGTCTCTTGCTAGTCCTCAGGTTTCTTTTGGGTCCAAAGCACCCAGTTCATCCTCTTCTCAGGAGGAAGTTGCAGACATCTTAAATGACAACAGTGACTACCCCAGCTGCTCTGCCTTACATCTCCATCAGCACTTCTGCTGCTTCTATTGCTGTGACAATAAAAAGAAGTGACCACAGCTTCCTTACAGAAAATTATTCTTTCACAGAAAACAAAAAATAGCCTTTAAGAGGAAATGAATTAAAATCAATACAGCAGACTGTATGAAGATTTAGGTCTTACGCAGGTTTGCTATTTGCTGAAATGTGAGAAAAATGTGAGAAACCATTACTTGCAAGCATGTCTCAAAGGCAGAAAAGGCAGAAAGGCTTTTTGCTCACTATATTAGATTATATATTAAAATGTATATATATTATACATATTACTAAATAATTCAGCCACAACCAGCATTTAGAAAAATGAAAAAACAATGTCATTTCTGTTGCCCTTTTATTAATTGGGAATGCTCTGTGCTTCCATTATACATGCTGTTCACAGGAACAAAATAAAAATAATGCCATGCCGTATGTCTTTTTATACCCCATACTCTCACCACATGGTAAAGAGAATATAGACAACCAATCCAAATCCTGTTTGACTAAAATGATCATGATCCTAAGTATCGTCAAACTGTCTATATCGATTGATTCAATGGCTTTCACTGTTTCTTTGTTTTATCAGCTCAAGGATTTGAGCAATTACTGTAATTGTAAGAACATTTCTACCCTCGAGTGTAGATGGGCCATGTAACTAATTAACATACTTTAAGCTAACTCTATGAAAATGAAATATGTGATCTGTTCCAAATGAACCATTTAGCAGAGTCTTGTTGGACTTGTCTTTCCATGGTAACAAAAATAGACTGTAGAACAAGAGAATGAGAAGGGAATGTTTAAAATAAAGTGATTAACTTAATTGCTTTTCTTTCAACCACCAGCAGTTACTCGAAGTGAAGGATGTGGGAAGCCTTTGTTAGTGCAAGTGACAGTGGTAGAAAATTATTTTTGCACATGCAACATGAAATTACTTTATACAGTCATGTACTCAACTACCAATCATTTCTGAATGACTGAAACTCAAATTAATACAAAATGCCACAAGCTCAGCACTTGAAAATTTTAAGGCACCAATTGCCAGCTGAAGAGAGAAATAGGAGAAAACAAGGGAGTCTAGAGCAAAGCCCACATCCCACTGTTCCATTCACCACACAGCCATTTGCTCTCCCTCCCCGCCCCACCCCCCCAGTGGGATGGGAGAGGGAATCAGAAAAAGGGTAAAACCCATAGGCTGAGATAAAAACAGTTTAATAGGACAGAAAAGGAAGGAAAAAAATAGTCATAATAATGATAAAGGAATATACAGAACAAGTGACACATGAATCCATGATGCAATTGCTCACCACCTGCTGACCGATGCCCAGTGAGACCCCAAGCAGTGGCACCTGCACTCCAGCCAACCCCCCAGTTTTATTCTTCAGCATGACACCATAGAGTATAGGACATCCCTGTGGTCAGAGCATGCCAGCTGTCCTGGCTGAGTCCCCTCCCAGCTCCTGGTGCACCCCCAGCCTCTGCAGCAACTGCAAGACCAGTGTGGTGTCACCATTGTTCTCATCCTAAGTCCGGAAAACAGCACTATACAAGTTACTGGGAAGAAAATTAACTCTATCCCAGTCAAAACCAGGGCATGTATATTGTCCCACTGTAGGTAATCAGCCTTGGCTCCTGAGAGACAACTAGAGAGCTGCCTCAAAAAGCAGAAAGAGACACTTAGTATTCTGCAGCTATTTCCCTTTGGGGTTGGAGGCAGCTCTACTTCTAGTGCTCTGTCTCCACTTTCCACTGGAGGGGTGGCCAGTGCTCCTGACCTTCAAGAAGTCTATCTACTTGCAGCTTGAAAGGCTCTGAGCAAATCCAATGGAGCAGAGATTAAAAACCTGCTGCTTTTTATCCACGAAGTTGGTAGGTAAACGTCCCTGGGTCAAGGACGAGTCTTAAATTCAAGTCTGTTCATTCAAGCAAGTGAGAGGAAACAAGAACTTTGTCTTGTTCATGCCTGTGTACAGCAGGAGGCAGGATTTGACAGCACCCATGTTAGATTGCTGCAAGTCTGAAAAGGCTTCTGTATTAGTATTTGTTCATCCACAAGGTAAATGAGCATTCTGGTAAGCATTAAGAGGAGAAGTTGGTGGTTCTTTATTCATAGTCAGTGGGCTCCTAACATCCTTGCAAACCTGCCTAACTAATCAATTGCACAGTGACAGTGTTGTCAGTTGGCTATTTGTACGGACCTCCAGGACCTGGGAGGGCACACACCTTTCTGTAAGGAAATTTGTACCATGAAATAATTGAAAGGGCCTGCAGTCCTTCATCAGTTCTCTTTTTAAATACCTGTGAGGAAAAAAAAGTGATTGCACTTCACAGAGGTTCATAGGACTGGCTCAACCAGCTCAGGTTTTAGAAATCACAACTCTTAGATTTATTTCCAGTATACGTTTGAGATAAATAGGAGACAAAAAACAGCACAAGCAATTCTCTGCCCTATGACTATAATTTCTTTCTCATGTGGAGATCTTTCCTCTGTTCATTAAAAAGCCTTCTAGTGGCTTTAGCCTTCTAGTGGCTTAGCATCATGTAGCTGCCTTCCAAGAATAATGGGGCAGGTGACTGTTTCCCCAGGGTTATCACTGCCCCGTGTTCACTTCTCAAAGTACTTTGCTTTCAGGATAACAGCCGCCATACATACTTGCATGAGGCGTTAATTCACAACGGTATCCCATGATCTACTCTGTGCTGGTGCAGCCTCACCTCGAGTACTGTGTGCAG